CACTGGATGAGGCCAGGGATGCCGCTAAACGTTCTACAGTGCAGGCCAGACAACCCCACCTCCCACACACGCACAAAGCAAAGAATTATCTGGCCTCAAATTTCAATGCGTCTGAGTTGAGAAAACCTGCTCTGAATACACATCGGTTGTTACCACGATCAGGCTTGCTTCCTGGCTTTTGCACGGTAGTGGTCACCTGGCCACACGTCTGTGGACACGTGTACTCCTGCAAGATGTATTTCCAGAGTCGCGTCTGCACTCAGATGCTGTGGCTCTTGAATGCCCCAAGAGGTCTTCTCCAGCTTGTCTCAAGTTCTTAACTAGGAGGCTGACATGCCTGTACCCAGGGGAGCTGTGAGAAGGAGCAGGACGGCCATTGGCCCCCAGCCCAGTGGCAATGCTGCTGCCGCCAGCACACTCGCAGGACGGCCCCCAGTGCTTACGGCCCCGCAGGCACTCTACTTAGATCACTCCATGCTCCGGAACCCCCCAGGGCAGGCGCTGCCATCGCCCTGTGTCACATGGGGAAACAGGCTGCGAGGCAGTACCGGAGCCTGAACGCCCCAAACCAGACGCTCTCCCCACACCTCACTGCTCCGGCCGAGGCTGCACCTCAGAATCACAGGGGGAGCGCCCAAGAAGCCAGAGTCCCGGGTGCTCCACTGGCCCAGGAAGGCAGCCTCGGTTCTGGAATCAAACAGATCTTGGCTCCTCCACCTCCTGGCTGTGTGACCTGGGGCCAGTGACGTTATCTCTCTGAGCCTCAGGTTTGTCCTTTGAAAAAAGAGCAGCATTAGTTACTCTCTCAGGCGGTGGCCAGGAGGATTTAGTGAACGCCCTGCATTGCAGGCTGAGCATGGGGCCTGGTGTACAGTAAGCACACACGTGTGTGTGTGCTCTTAAATTGATTCTGATGTGCCCAGCTAGTTGTCCATCCATCCATCCATTCATTCATCCATCCATCCATCCATCCATCCATCCATCCATCCATCCATCCATCTATCCAATCATCCAATCATCCACATTCATCATCAATCCACCTACCCTTTCACCCCTCCACCATTTATTCATCTAATAAACACCTGCCAACTATTTCCTTTTCGGAAACCCTATGCTGGACTCAGAGGCACTTGAAACAAATAAGACGTGGTCCTTGACACCAGAGAGCTCCCCGAACAGTGGGAGAGGCAAACATGATGGAGGGCAAGGACTCATTCATTCATTTCTTCCGCTCATATTCCCTGCTGCCGCCGATGTGTCAAGCTGTGTTAGGCCCCGGGGAACAAAGATGAAGGCGGCGAGGTCCTCGGGCTCCCATTCTAACGAGAGACAGAAGTAAATACGAACCAGCCAGGAAGTGCGTGTTCCGTCATCATCTCACTCGTTCAGCACATCTGCTGATGCCTCCCACAGCCTGGGCGCTGGGGACCCCAGGATGGAGGGTTTGGCCTTACCCACCGGGAGCACAGTCCAGTGGAGGAGCAAGCCCAGTGGGGAGCTTCAGCAGGATGTGATATGAGCTGCAATTAGCGAGAGGGCAGGGGTGCATAGAAGCAAGGAAGGTGGCCAAGGGAGCTTTCTGGAGGAGGCGGGGCCTGGTCCGAGCCTGAAGGTGGACCTCACAACCGGTTTGCATCCCTTCCCTTTCCCAACGTGAAGGTCAGACTCAGGGGCCCCCACGACACCCCCCACCCCCAACCAGCCCTTGTGAGGAGAGAACTCCAACCCTGTCTCGGGGCAAGGCCCTGGGCAGCCGGCCGGGTGAACCTTGGAGACCGTCCCACAGTGGCCAAGGTCCACTGGTGACATTGAGGTTGTTTGTACAAATGTGCTCCGCTGTTCCAGGCAGTCTTGTTCACAGAAAACAACAAGCCTGCTGGCACACTTATGGTGGGGCGCAGAGGGGGCTGAGAGTGTCTACCGTGCCCAGTGCCCCGGGGAGTGAGGACACTGGTGCCCGTGGGAGGGGACGGAGATAAAGGCAGAGCCTGGCCCGGAGATGGGGGCAGGGCCCCATCAGGTAGGCCCTCCTGGGCTTTGGGAAGAACTCGGGTTTGATTCAAATGGGGAGCATTTGAGCTGGGTTCAAAGGGATTAAAACACAAGATTCCAAACCTCCAGATAGCTTATGCATTCATTCAACCAATATCTGAGCACCTACTCTGTTCCAGGCACCTGGGAAGCCAGGGTAAACATAACAGACATAGACTCTGCCTTCCCCGGAGCAGAGGGGACACAGACCCTAAATCAATGACTCACGCAAGGAAACAGACAGCTATAAGCACCATCAGGGCAGGTTTCTTTAAGATGCTATGTAAACAGCTGGTTTAGTACTTCATCCAGCCAGTATTTATTGAGCACCATGTCAGGTACTGTGCTGGGTTCAGGGATGAGCAATACAGACCCCACCCCTGCCCTCAAGGAGCTGGCATTCCAGTGGAGAAGACAAACCTATAAATAATCAACAACCACACAGTGGGGTAGGCGGAGAGGCTGTGGAAGCAGGGAAGGCTTCCTGGAGGAAGCGGGCGAGCAGGAGTTAGGTGAGAAATTGTGCAGGTGAGGACAGGTGGGGTATCTCCGGTTGGTTATCTGCTGGGCCGAGGAAGGAGTGGGGGAGGAGGTGCTGCAGCCGGGAGAGAAGGTCAAGACCCATTGGAAGGAGACCTAAGGGAGTGGACACTGCCCTCAGAGGAGCCTCGGAGGGCAGAGGGCATCTGCAGGGCTCCTGCGATCTCTCCATCTCTGCCCGGCTGCCTCCTCCTTCGGTCTCTCCCTGTGTCTTTGTCAGAGTCTGAGTCTCAGATTCTCTCACTGTCTCTCTCAGCCTCTCAGTTCCTCTCTGACTCTCTTTCTCGGCTCTGGTCCTCCTCGCGAGATGTCAGTAAGAGACAAGGATACTAGGAAAAATCCCGGGCGGGTGGGCAGGAAGCGAGGTCAGGGGCACAAGGACAGCTGAGCACAGGGACAGGCGGTGACTAAATGTTCTGTTTTGGAAAGACAGCTCTGGTCAGGGGCGAAGGTGGCTGACCACGAAACCCGATAACCTGGCCAAACTCTGCTCTCGCCAGCCCTCTCGCCAGCAGCCCCATGACCCCTGGATGCGGCACAGAATTTTTCCACAGGGAGGGGGACCGGGGTAAAATGGCCCAGGGGCGGCTTCTCCTCTAGCCAACGGGCCCAACAGGAAGGGACAGAAATAAAGAACAGTGAATTCTCAAGCGAGCCCTCCGTGTGATTTAGAATAGGAAAGCCCTGCTTATCTCTACATGCTTTTCAGAGGTTTAACAATTTATTAAGCACCGTCTGTGAGCCAGGCACTGTGCTGGTACTCACTGCTGAGTCTCTCAAGTAGAGCATTGTTGTTTAAGACCATGGACTCTGGAGCCAGGCAGCCTGAGTGTGAGCCCTGGTTTTGTAAACTACTAGCTCTGTGACCCTGTATAACTTACTAAACCGCTTTCTTCATGCATAAAATGGGAAGGAAATAGCACCTGTCTCATACATTTGAGATCCAGATTAGTATTAGCTCATACAGGTCAAGTGCCTGGACTGGTGCGTGGCACAGAGTAAGTACTCAACAAAACTCAAGCTATTATCATGCGAGCCTTGTGATGGAAGAACTAATGCTAAGGAGGCAGAGGAAGTCAGGAAATCCCTGCTTCATTGCCTCCTAGCTCCGTGGCCTTGATCAAGTGTCACAATCTCTCTGAGCATCAATTTCTTACAGTGAAGATGGTCTTGGTGCTCACCTCACCACGCTTTGAGAGGTTCTGTGTACATGTCGGTGGAGAGCATTGAGGTCACAGGTGCAGAAAATAAGGCCCAAAGATGTTCCTTAGGTTTATTTCATGTGTCCAGCAGGCTCGGGGTCCCCAGAACACCTATGATGTGCGGGGTCCTGTGCTCTTCCTGTCCTGAAAGACAGTAGCGAACAGTTGAAGAAGAAGGGAACCCCCTTGGCACCCAGCTTTGGTTATCACAGGCATTATCAACCCATTTCACAGAGGTGGAAACTGAGGTTTGGGGAGGGAAAGAGGCTGATCAAGGTAAAAGGTTCACGAGCACCTTATCCCCTGAGCTGCTCTTGATCTGAACTCTGATGACAACGCCACCACTTCCTATGCCGTCAGAGGCAACCAGAGGCTCCTTCTCTCTCACACACAGCTGCATGCCCCTGCCTCAGTGTCCCCAGCACCGGCCCTGGGGCTGGCCTCAGAAATGTTGGCACTGGACAGAATTCACAAGCCCAAAGAGCTGTGCTGTTCCTGAATGACCTCCCTCCAGCCTCAGCCTCAGCCTGTTTCCTTATCCTCTTTCAGCCAGTTGGAGAACTCATCTTGGCCCTCAAACCCCTGAGCGCTCCCCTCGCTACCAAGGCAAGAAGCAGGTGACAAGCACAGGCAGCGTGGAGGAAGGGACAGAATGAGGTCTGGAGCCCCAGAACCCTGGGTCCTCCTGCGTGGCTGTGTGACTTTGGGCGTGGGCACTTCTCTCTGAGCCTCAGTTTCTGCATGTGTAGAATGGGTGCAATCTCATAATACCCACCCCTTCAGTTGATGTGCAGAATGGAAAGAGCAGGGTACAGCCCTAGCCATGGGGCAGGTGCTCAGAAAGTGACAACTGCCCCTACTATGTGAACCCTCGCTCTCTACCCCAATCCCTTAAGCCCAATTTGGCTCTTCATGGTCAATGGTGAGCTTCTCAGGAGACAGTAGAGTGGTTCAGAGCATGACTGTCTGAGGTCAAATCCTGTCTTTGCCACTTATGATCCCAGACAGTGACTTAACCTCTCTGGGCCTTAGTTGTTCCATTCATGAGACAGATGTAATAATAGTTCCCACATTTCAAATTGTTGTGATGACCAAATGAGTGCACAAATGCAAAGGCTAGAATCTTGCCAGGCGCATGGTGGGGGCTACAGAATGTCTGCTGCTCTTCATTGATTGGGGAGAGGACCTGGTGGCTTCTCTACAATTTACAAGGGACTCGGGGCCAAGGATGAAATGGGAGACCTGCGGAGAAACCCCGATCTGAATGAGCAGGGATTTCAGAAAGCAAGGTCCGTCGTATTGGGGAAGCAGGTCCCACGTGGCCCTGGGGGGCGGGGGGAGGGGCTGCTCCACATCCGTCCTCCGTGGGAGCCGGCATCGTGCTCGGGCATCTCAAGCACGGAGATGCTCAGCCTGGAACCGGAGTCATCGTGATTTGTGATTTTTATCACACGTGGTCCAGCAGTGTGTCCTGTCAGCTCCACCTCCAAAACCCATCCAGAAGGTAGGGTCATGGCCTTCTCCCCACCTTCCCAGCCACCCCCGGGGCCCAGTCACCATCATCCTTTGCCTGGACCATTGCAGTCACCTCATCCCTGGTTGTCCCCTTCCCTCTTTGCCCCTGGCAGTCCATTTCCCACACAGAGCCGGATGTTCTTTCAGAACCAAGATGACCATGCTCTCCTCCGCTCAGGACCTTCCATGGCTCCCATCTACCCCAGAGAAAAGCCCAGGTCCTCCCATTGACTCCCAAGATGCTGCACAATCTGCCCCCTGATCTCTACCCTCACTTCCTCCCAGGTGGCCCTCCCTCAGGCTGCCCAGCCATCACACATCATCACACATGCCAGGCAGAATCCAGCCTCGGGGCCTTTGCACTTGCGGTTCCTCTGCCAGGAATGCTCTTCCTCCAGTTACCTCCATTGCTCAATCCCTCACATCTTTCAAGTCTGTCCTCAAATATTTGCTCGACAAGGTCTCCCCTGGCTCCCGCGTTTAGATCTGTGCCTCTCCGAGGCTCTCCATCTCCCTCCTGGTTTATTCGTTTATTTTTAAAAATATGTTTTTATTGATTTCTAGAGTGAGAGGAAGGGAGAGGGACAGAGAGAGAGAAACATCAATAGAGAAACATCATCGATTAGCTGCCTCTTGCATGCCCCGATGGAGCCCACC